TCTGTTGACTGGTAGCTATACCTGTTTAGATTCTTGCATATTGCCTGTGTTAGCTTCTTTAGCCCGGGGAGGTAAGGATGACCATTCTGTAGATGTTCAGCATCTGAGCAGACTAAGTTCCTGAAGTAGTCCTGGATAGCCATTTGATGCTCCTCAGGTATTCTGGAAATATGAAACACAGGAGCACTTTAAACACACATTTCACACATCAGCTTCATCCAAGCACACCAATGTGTCAAATCACTGCCCATAATTGTAGGAATTATTGCATTGTACACAGTGTATCCTGCCAGCGTATTATTATCAGAAAAAATTGCATGATGAATTATGTGGCTGAGGACCATACGTGGACAAGTCCATATTCTGCAGTCTCATCAGGAAGGTGTCTGATAAGTTCTTGCAGGGCTGTTCACTATCTTTCACATCAAAATTCCTGGGTGGAAGCTGCGGTGGAAGAATATTGGATTCTGTAGGACAAAGACATGTAATATGTTCAGGAATTGTTTTATCTTTGACAGACACGTATTCTTTTTTAACATAATAGCCACTGCTCAGATGAAGTTGTTTGACCTGGCTCCTCGTCTACCTCCTCCTCTCTTTGGACAGGGTACTGCAGGTGTGTGACCAGTCCCATGTTGGGACTGTAATATGCCTCCACCAGCTCAGGCAGCATAGAGAAGAACCTGATAGGAACTCCTTCAGATGCCTGAAGAGCAGATCACATCAGACACATCATTCTCCTCAGACCACAGCAGAACTAAAATGTCATGCAGCCCTATTGCCATTGGTTTTCTTTTGGTCACTAAGTCTGGTGACGCAATTACTTCCCATGTGATGTCAGATATGTCTACTTGCACCGTCTGTGGCTTCTTCCAGCAGACAACAACTGCGTTCATGTTTTCAGCTAAGTTCCTCAAACAGTTGTATAGAGCAGTCTTAAGAGTTTCTTATGTACATCTCATTCAAAAGAATATATAATTCCCCATACGTTCCCTTGAATTTTTGTCATGAACTAAAATGGTTACATTTAAAGAATTACTGCTATTTTACACCCAAACATTGAGAACATAAAACCACAAATCTCACCTAATGCGAGAGACTGACTGTACCTACAGGTCCTGAAAATTCAGCTGCTGCACCTGATTGTCTCTGGTATTAAATCCTGTACTCGTCACACAGAATATTTAAGTTGTGTTGGACATTTTAGTGCCTTTATTTTGTTTGTATTTATCTTACATTATCGCATTGATCATTAGTTTCAAACACACAACCTATTAACCTATTTTATTATGTTAAAATGTTCAGACCATTTATAGACAGTAGATTTCACAGGTACAAACAGGAACCAGCAGCTTTCTGGACCACATATTATATATCACACAGCTGCACATTCTTGCCTTTACTTATAGCTTGTTTGGGCAGGAAACAGGTCTCTTTTGTCCCTACAAGTACACCACAAGTGATTACATGTATTAGAAAGTGACAGTGCTGATTTATTATCACGTCGAAGGAAATCTAACACACTGGTACTCCATCCCTGTGAATACTTGTCCAATTCAAGCACTGGCTCAGCACAATTTACCATTTTGGAACCACATGTGCAGTTGCTGTATATATATAAGCATGGTTATCATGCTTGTTTATCTAACAAATCAAAATTAAAAACCTAAAAACGTCTCAAATAATAAATGTGCATATTACCATATTATACACTTTTTTTCTTTAATTAATTCTATGCTCATGATAACTGTTTCTGGCTATACTGACTCACAAGCGCAGGCTACTTTCACTTCCTCCAGGTGGATGTAAGTCTTTTTTTTTTTATGTTTTACAACATATACCAACGGTTACAAATTCACTCTTCACCAGCCACCTATCACTTTTAAAATAGAGCTGCAATGGCCATCCATCAGTCTAGACTGACTGCAAAACATGAGTAAAGCTTTTGGCTTTTATTTTGCAGTAAAGCCCCGATATATGTTCTGACACTTTCTGTCGAGGCAAAGCTTGACACTGACAGACTATCCTCTAATTTGGTCAAGTTAGCAATGATAAATATGCAACAGTCAGTTAGACTTTCAAAATAAAGGTTGCTGAGAAACATTTCAGGTGACATTGCAGTTTGGTTAGGTTTAGGCACCAAACTACTTGGTTAGGGAAAAGATCATGGTTTAGGTTCAAATACAACCTGGTATCACGCCAAAGTGTGTAATACACACACTGGTCCACTGTGTACTCTTCATGCCTAGGCAAGGCAAAACGAGATATTGACACAGTATAACTGCAGGAAGAGTGTGTATTTTATGGATTTTTGTTTTCGGGATAACGGGCTGTTGCAGACATGGGCTTTTTTTTTACGATCACGGTTTTGAAAAAAGGGGCTGTAAGAACAATGGCATGGCAGCTACCTACAGTATTTTATATAACTTTAAATGTCAAGAAGTCACAGAAGTAGAGTTTGGGTCTAATGGAGGGATTTGCCATTTGAAAGTGGGTTGCAAGAGAGCTTTATTGCACCCTCACATAGTAAGTGAAGGATGTTTTATACATTCAAAGACTTATTGTGTCAATAATGGCCGCCAGTATTATTTACTGAATCCATATAATAAGATAATACTATGAACACAAGATTGCAATGTTGAATTTGATTTAAAAGCTCCTGTTTTGATAAAATGTGACTGATTCAACAATAAGACTAAAGGGCCGGTCACATTAAGAACAGTAACTATAACAATAGTGATGTGAGCATCCACACTGAGGAACGATAACATTGTGTAAACAGTGGCCCCAAAACGCTGCACACTGCAGCTGTGTTGACAGTTTAATAGTAAAATGTATATTGATTAATGCTGAATGTAGCACAAAGAAACAAATAGAAAGCCAGGAGGATACGGGTAATATGTCTCAGGTAAGATTATGTTTTTTATGTGTGTTTTGCAGCCTAAAATTGTTATACAAAATTGTATACCACAGTATTGTTCATCAAATAGCTCTGAAAGTGATCACAACGAAATCGTTCCCTGCTGTCGTTGTCGTTATTGTTGTGGTGAGTGAGTTAGAAAGATTTTAACGGATATATTTATAGTTATTGTTATAATTATAGTTACCCACATGTTTGACTCAATGACCATCCAAACGACAGGCAACCAACAGACATTGCTCTTCCTGGAGCCATGCCACTATGGTTAAAACTTATAAATAAACTTCCCATATGCTGTAAATAATTAACACTAACAATTCTACTACCATAATAATTCATCTGACATCAGACCAAAATGGTGGCTTATGTGAAACTGTCAACCCACCTGTACAGAGAGCTTCTTATCCTCATTTGGCAGGATTCTGTATGTGTACACACAGTTCTGGTATCTGTGTATAAAATAAATAAATGCAAATGTCTGTCACTGGAATATGACATGAAGATAGGGTAAAGAAACATGCTAGCTGATATAATCACTGTGTTCTGGATGCAATCAGAACACTAGGTAGCATTTTGCAAATTGCTCCATGAAAAATCATATGAGCTACAGAGGGCAAAGGGTGTTGCTGTGTGGCAGCACATTATGCAAATAAATGGGGAACTAGTCTTGCATTGCTATGCATGTGTGGAAAAAAAATGTGATACGTACATTTCAATACAAATTTGAACTTTGAATTACGTTACATTTAATATGCCCAAATGATGACGCTTTTTCTTAGACCTGATGCCAAAAACATTCAGAATAACAGCCATAGCCAGTCAGTTTTTCCTCCATTAATTTGGATCATACACAGCTCATATTGCATGTTATTAAGGCTTTTTGAATAGGCACAAGAATCATTGTCCACTTTACATCAATGCAATAGTTACAAACAAGTAATGTGTACTTACAAAACACAGAGGGCATACGCTCCCTGTATGGACTCACTGTCCCGGATAAGGAAGCTTCCATCTCTTGCTGCTTTGGAGAGTAGATCCTCAGCTTTTGATCGAGTTATATTACCATGGCACCAAGGTTGATAACTTGACATCCTGTTTCTCACACAAGAGTCTTGAGACTCAAGAGTTGCACATCAGCTCTCAAACTATATTCCAGCAAACTAAAGTAGACTCAGTTTTTATTTCTCGCTATTTTCATCTTTTCATGGTGCGCACTTTTAAGTTCTTTCTTTCACTTGTTCATCCTCTGCCTCTGAAAGCTGTAAAAGGAAGCTGCTATTACCACGGCTCTGAACTTCCTTATTTGACTTAAGTTAAAAGAGGAGGGCCCTGGTGCCTCTGCTCTGCCTGCTTTATGACAGATCCACAGAGCTGTAAATAGAAATACAGACTTTCGCTTGCTGAGTACAAATCTTTTTCACATTACTTTAATAATTAACAAGAATTCCTTCTTAAGTTTTTGTATACCCACTTGTTTATGTGAACTGTCCAGAGTGAAGTGAAGCCATTTGTAAAAACTTCGGTTGAAAGAAGTAAAAAAAGGGAAGTAACAAAAAAGACAAATATGATTACTGGTAAATTTGCTTGTGAATAAACATATATAATATATATATGAGAAGCCTAATTTGGGTTCCCAGATTAATTTGTTAATGCTCCAATCATCTCTGTCCTTTGATCAGGAATACAACAAGCACTCATATTTACCCAGAAGACCCAGCGTCTGACTGCTAACTGTTTAATTGTCTAATTTGAATCAGGAGAGCTAGGTGTATTCTGACAGGAAATATAAGTTTAGAATGGCTTGCCATGTTCATGTCATGTGATGGACAGGAAGTCTTGCAGAAATAAGTGGAGGAAAATAAGCCGCTCACAAACCACAACATGGGTCACATGACACAAAAAGAGAACTACACAGTGACAAGTCACTGCAGCCTCGGAGGTTTCTGCCCCGCACTTGAAATAGGTTTCCCACTTTCACAGAGAGCATGTCAAATTCTCAGACCTGACAGTTAGACAGACATCATCTCACGCAGAGGACGTGAAATCATACTTTTGCTTTCAAGTGACAACAATTGAAATGTTGAGTTAACACACACTTTATATATGGCAGCATTTATATTCTGATACAAAAGAGAAATAAAGAAAGAAATGTGAGTTAGTTGTTAACATAATATGCTGGTGATTTTCTTCCATAGAGTTTTTATGAGCTTTTTTTCAGACTTATCATTTCCTTAGCAGAGTGACTTTGCAAATATAATAAGTGTATTATTAAAAACATGAAGTCACAAAGAACATTTATAACACATGTTACTCACATCTGTGTGAATAATGTCTTTCCGTCTAAAATATCACTTTTTTTGTAGATGACATTTAGAAAATCTGACTCACAGGTAAAAATAAGATTCATAGTTTGCAATATTACAAAAATGTGGACACAACAATAGATGCATAGCATAGAAGGATTTAGGGAACTGGATAATGATGAATATATGTACAATGAAGATTTGTAGAGAAATACATTTAGCAGGATCTACTGGCAGAAATGGAATATTATATTCACAGGTATGTTTTCAGTAGTGTATAATCAAATGAAAATAAGAATAGGGCCTTTTCGAGAGTTTTGCAGCCACCATAGTTTCTCCTACGCACTTGGTTGAGGGTAGCGGTTTCAGTTGGTTGCAATCTGCAACTTCACTGCTAGATGCCATTGAATCCTACATACTGGTCCTTTAAAAATAGACCTCATATTAAAACAAGACTAAGAGTCTATAGTGAAGCTTGCAGCTCTGTGAGGTTTTATTTAGCACAGTGGTGCTTTGAGCTAAATGCTAACATTAACATGCTAACATGTCATTGTGAGCTATGTTGAGCAGGTATAATGTTTACCATGTTCATCATCTTAGCTCAGGCATGCAAACGTTTGCTGATTACCACTAAAAACAAAGCCCAGACGAGCCTGATTGGCTCTGCAGGTACATGGTCATAAAGTACAATAACATTTTGAGGGGAACATGAAGGTTGCTACTAAGAGATATTTCAGTCTTGACCAAAGTGATGGCCCAACGACAGACCATCCTGAGAGCATTGCTGCTAGTGTGGCTAAAAACAATGTATCATTACAGCAACGGGATAGGGCTATACTTGAGAGCATGTCACAGTTATCTACATGCACACCATCATAGTTCAGTGCATTAGCATGCAAACAGTTACTAATAAACACTAAACACAACATACAACTTGATCTACTGACATTGCAATTTGCAGAGCCAGGACCCTAGCATAGCTGAAAAACACCTTAGATTTAAAAAAATAAAATAAAAAAAAGATATTGAAAAGCTAACTATTTATTACATTTGGCATATGATACAAATCAGTAACAGGAAATATACATTAAAAGCTGACTATGTACATATTTGATCATTTGGTGTTTAACACACAACTCACTTTCCAACGTCAGCAGGAAGCTTGTGGAATGAACAACTTAATTCTTGTCGAGGTCACAGGCTGCTGGAGCCTTTCTCTCTCATGTATAGGACAAATGTTCTGGGCCTTTTTCGACAAATGTTTTCTGCGAAGGAAGACTGTTGATGGCAGCAGTTGGCAGAACCAGTAGAAAAAACATTTAAGCCCAGTTCCAACATCCACCCTTACAACTCAAAGACATCATCATAGCCATGTATCCAAATGTATTGCAAATCTTTACCAAAATTTTAATCAATCGAGAAAAGAAGATGCAAACAAATATCCATCTAACTGTTATGTGATTATGAGAGAGTTGGTTCATCAAGATAGTAGATGGCAGAAGAAGAGGGTACAACATGATGACATAATTAACAGAGCGCCTCAAGAGTTGAACCTCAAACGATGAAAAACAATGCAGAAAACAGGATGGAAATTAGACATTTCTATTAGTTTCATCTAACAATGTGAGGATCCATCAGAGCTGTGTGGAGCGATTATGGATGTATAGAGCCATGGGAGCCATGAGGAGACGGAGTGGAAACAGTCTGTAAACTGTAAATTAAATGTTCACTACGTCAGATATTTAAAAAAAATGATTCCATCTCTCATGAAGCGCAATGCTTTTTTCATAAAAGGCAAAAACCACCTCAAGTGTGTGCTAAGTTTTTTTTTTTGCAAAATGTTGTTGCTGTTTTCATCACCCTTTTCTAATGCAATACACTAAAACACAGCTAGTGTCAATGCCTTTGATGGCTTTGATGGCTAGTGTTTGAGGGTTCTCTGGCTGACTTTCTGAATTCTTTATGCACACTTTATTAAGTCAGCAACTCTGCAGACTGCTCATGGGAATAACCCACATTGTGTGCACAACTAATGGCAATGACATTTCAGAAGCACAAAAAAGGAAACGCAAGCAAAACATGGAAGGAGGTGAAGGAGTGACTTACGGGATTACTTGTTTGTCTTAAGGTGGCATGATAGTGACCTCTTTGTATGCAAAACTGTTCCAAAATTACAACTTAGCAAAAAACATTAATTCCAATTCATTACATTACATATGGAATATGAGTCTCACACTGTAAACAGAATGGCGTAGGTTCCTCAAAGTGCTGTCCCAGTAAATGACATCTGTCAGTTATTGTGTGAGGGTTCAGTGTATAGGGCATAGGGTGAACGCTGGAACTGGGCCTTAAATTCAAAGGGGGCTGCAGTGGAATATCAAGAAAATAACAGCACATTTTTTTTGTGTTGGAAATGCATCTATATGAAATAATGCTCCAGATCAAGTTCAAATTTCTCTTTTTCAAAACTCAGACTTGGCACTCAAGGAGCTCTCGTGTGTTCCCTTTAACTCTCCACTGGTGGTTCCTGACACCCCGGCCTTATCTTTGCAAAACAGTCGCATTACAGTGCCACGGAACTTCTCCGCCCCAAACAGGTAGATCAGCGGGTCCATAGCACCGTTCAGGCAGGTGAGGGAGGAGGTGAGGCGGTTGGCCAAGCTCAAGCCTCTGCGTGTCTGGCAGGAGACGTCGGGATGGCTGTAGCCCAGGATGAAAGTGGCCCTGCTCACATGATAAGGCAGGAAACAGACTACGTAGATGAGCATGACCAGGCCGATGGTGCGCAGGGCCTTTAACTTGAGGGCCGGCTCTAATCTGGAGCCCCGATGCAGGCTGTAAATGATGAGCAGGTAACAGGACAGGGTGGCGAGGAAAGGTGGGGTGAAAGCCACAGCCAGTGAGATCAGTGCATTGCGCGAGGCCTTCTCTCTGTAGAGCTGCAAGCACACTGTCATGCCTTCCACCTCTGCAGTCTGGTGGGTGATCAGCAGCGGTGCCATGGAGACAGTGACCAGGGCCCACAGAGAGAAGCTGATGATGTGAGCGTAGCGAGCTCGGCGAACCTTCAGTGACCTCACAGCGTGAACCACAGCCAGGTACCGATCCCCCGCTACACAGGCCAGGAAGTACAAGCTAGCGTACATGTTGACATAAAACAAAAAGCCTGCCACCCTGCAGGGCACCTCGCCGAAGGGCCAGTGGCCTCCAGTGAGGTGGTAGGTGGCCCTCAGTGGGAGGATGATCACGTACGATAAGTCTGCCACAGCCAGGTGAATCAAAAAGATGTTCGCTGGAGAGGAAGAGCCACGCTGGTGAGCGAAGATCCAAAGAGCCAGACTGTTACCGTTCAGCGCCAGGAAGAAAACCAGGATGTAGAAGCATCCAAACAGTGTGTTTTCAACTGTTGTGTCCACTACTGCACAGCTCTTTGACGACTGATTGGACAGCAGGGATGGCAGCGCCGCTGTAGCAGACTCCATTTTGGTGGCTGAGGAGAGAAAGTCATTTTCAGGTATAAATAGAAACATTTCTCCTCTTTGGGATGATTTTTATCTTAATAAAGTAATGTATGTATGTTTGCAGGATGGATAAAACATTGTATTTTCTTTGCTGGTTACAGTTCAGGTCTGATTTTCACATCTCTGACTATGAGTCATGACTTTTCTAAACAAGTGCAAGTGATTTCTGATTTCTTCTTCAGTTTATTGTTAGTATTCAGACAGCAAACTACCCCAGAGACAGGAAACCACACCAGCTCCAAACCCTGTCCACACTTCTCTCTTCACACACAAACACATACTGACAATAGGCAGGGAGATTGTTTGTCACAGTGCCAGTCTCACAAGGTAACAACAGATGTCAGTGTCCCTGGCTAATGCCATATGATTACTTCATTCTGACCACGACAAGTTTTAGACTTCCTCTGCACACTCTCTCCTTCCTTCTTTCATATTATAGACTGAATGGCAAACTCTCATGCGCTAAATGCGTAGAAGTATTACCTAATAAATAAAGCTTTACTTACTTACTATTTATGGTAAACATGTCTGTGGAAGATAACTATAAATACTGTGTGGTAATCATTTATTTGCTACTTTATATGTAACATTACAGAATTACATATAAACTGACATTAGTTTCAATGCTACCATAGCATACTGAAAAAATGTCTCAGAACAGGTCTGACATTTTGGGAAATATGTTTATTCACTTTCTTGTACACTAAATATCAAACTAGCTTAGCCAGGAAAAATCTGCCTACAAGCACCTTTAAGCTAACTAATTAAAGTGTAGCTGCACCCCTCGATTCTGCTAGCTCCCTGCTTCCCAACAAACTAAAACAAAATGATCAGAGACGGTTGGGGGTGTGGCCTCAACACCAACTAGACTTGCCAGAGTAGCAGGAACAGCGAGCTGGTAGTCAGAGCTAACCAAGCTAACCATGGAGCTATCCAGCCATAGACAGCTTCTTTAAGACTCTCCGTGTCCGCACTGGAAACACAATGAGTCCACTGGAGCTTTTACACAAGCACATTCACGGCCATCTGTGAAAGTGTGGAACCTTGGTTGTAGCTAAGCTAGCAGCTGTGTTGTAGCTAAGCTAACGGCTCAGATAGGCTAACTCTTCAGTACGTGTGGGGGGAGTGTCAGTCACAGGTCCGGACCATTACGTCAAAATAGAAAAACACTAGGGTTAGAAAAAAAATAGTGTAAACTCCCATGAATGATGTTTCAGTCTGTGTGTATTTGAAAATGAGGGTAGCGGTTACACAGACACAAGTTAAAAGATTTTAAAATTAAAAAATCTTTACCTGTAAGTTTCTGGTGCCCGTACATTCGAGTCTCACCTCCTCTGGGAAGTTTGAAGTTTAAGCTTTGAGTATTAAATTGACCAATATAATTCCTAACATTCCTCAGAGAATTGCACATTTGTTTTTTCAGTCTTAGAGACTATTTAGACACACCTCAAAAATGACCCACTCCTTAATTCCTCCAGCAACTCTGGCAAGCTCCAACTGTCCACTCCTCTCATTTTGTTTTTATCTCCTCCTTTTCTGCCTCAGCATAACATCTACACAAACATCAGTGGGGTGTGAACAGCAATAATGAATCTCAGAATCTTCCCTTTGAAATGTATGCAGGGTCCAAGAACAATTTCAAAATGTGCTGCAAGGATGAGCTTGTCATCCCAGAGGTGTTTCTGTATTTCTGCTGATGGTTCCCAGATATAATGAGCAAAAAGCTCACCACCAAACAGTCAAACGTGATCAAATAAGGCTGCACCACCGCAGGGCTCCTTACCAAAAAGGGAAAGGGATTGTCTCTAAATCTCTAATCGCTAAATCTCCATTTCACCAGCTCACCGTGCAGACTTTTGGCCCATGAGGAACCAGCCAGATGCCACTGACTGGAGCTGTGAGACCCACAACGAAGGGCATTTCTCAGCCAAGGCTCAGACTCAGCGCATTCAGGAGCACAAGTCGCCCAAAGAAAAAGGGTTGCAGTCCCAGTAGGGATAACAAACTAGGGTGCAGCACAGCTGAATGGAAAAGCTTCCATAAATACGGATCCCAGAGGGATAATCCTAACGAGAGGCAATCCTGAAATATGCCTTCATCACAATGATCTGGGTAAGCAGATCTGTGCAGGCGTTCACATGTGAAGAGTGTTGGCAGAGAGGGGACTGAGCTTGCTGGCATTGGTCCTTTTCAGAGATTAGTCAGTAACAATTTGTTGTGACAAAACTGTGACGGCTGTAATGTGTACAGTTTTCCATTGTTAAAACTCGTCACAGTCGGATAAAGTAAATGTGAAATTTGGTTATTGGATTAAAAGCGAGTGCATTTACAGATATTCATCCTTTCAATCTTAAAAAGCAGATGACAGATTGTCATCATGCTGAACTGTTTGGGGTTTTACATGACAAAAGCGACACATTTACAGAATAAATACTTACTACTATGTGAGTGCAGTGTATGTATGTGCAGTGAACTTGGTAGTTCTAACATCAGGGATGTACTGCGACTATTTGTGCCACTTAAATACAGTGTTTACAATAAAAACAATAAATGGAATCTCTCTTGTGGAGACCTTTAATAAAGCTATTGAAAACAACAACAGCTCTATTGCTTTATCAAAATCCGAGGTAAAATAAAGAGACTTACCTGAGCTTTAGAGCCTTTCAGAGTTGGTTGGCTGCTGGAGGAACAATTCAGCTGACAGAGAGTGGACTTTAATCGGTGCAGGAGCAGAGTGGAGCAAAGTGAAGACTGGGAGTTCGACCGCCGAGCTGTGGACGAGCTGACACAAAGAATGCTGTCCTATAACCCCTTTTTCTCTCCCTCAAGATGTTCTTGGGAATGAGACTGTTGCTCTTTTTGTGTCTCAACAAATTTGATAACAGAAAGGGAGTCCCAATGGGAGCCTTTCGTTTGAACCTTGACCCCACCCTTTCTTTCTCCATCCCCTTCTCCTCAGAGAGCCACTTGTGCGCTCCACAATAGCCTGAGTCAGAATAAGCAGCGCATTTTAGCAGCGGGGAGAAGAATGGCATGCCTCAGTCGCAAAGAGTCGTTGGGTATGACTCCATGGAAACCAGGCCTAGTGCTGCGCCGAGTGCCTTTACCATGAACTCCCACCCTCCCACTGATAGATAGAAGATGGACAGTGCTGTTAATTGAGGAGTTTATGACTAAAGAAGTCTCTGAGATGATCTTTTGTAAATGGTCTGTTAAGTTCTACAGAGGGCCCCCATTCCCTATAGGAGGGCAAGTGAAAAACAAGAGCAGGGAGGGAGGGGGGGGGACGCTTGAAGGAAACAGAGGCCCTTGTTGGTCTCTTGCCTCCTGGGGGCATCCTGAATTGGAATGCCCAAAATAATCAGTCACATAGCCATCGGACAGATGTGGAGAGAGGTCCCACTGGCTGAGGGGGGATAATATTTCTTTCATACAAGCAGATCACAGCTGTGTGTCAGACACATCGGCCCCTTCTCTTCTCTGTTTCATCGATATGCAAATGGAATTCTGTAGACTTGAATGAAGCCACTATCTGTGCACGACTGTGGAGAAGCTTTGACATCACTACCCTGTTAATCTACTGCCAACTGCTAATTGGGACGCCCCCCGCTTTTGTTCCTGATGCAAAAACATTTCTTTGTGTAAGTGCTCACTATCATAAATATATCATTCTTTTTACTGCTGTGAGGGAGCAGCTCCCGGCTGCTGACAGAGTTTTTGATAGAAGATAAGATGCTCTCAACATTTTGAACAGTTACACTCACAAACACACTTCCACTGTGAGAATTATTTATTTGACAATTTTAGCAGGAAAAAAAAAACAATACATGTTTTTTCATGAGTGGAATCATTTTAACCCCTAAAATATTAGTTGAAGATGAGCATATTTAAAGGCACCCTGTGGACTTTTTGGACAATAGCGCTATGGTGCAATGTTTTGACGAGTGGATAACCGTCTTGTTGTGCAATTCACATTTTGTCTTCAGTTTCACTCTGTTCCAGTCATCGACAGTTGGTGGTAAAAACACGCCACAAAGCTTGTAAACACGAACAATTTAAAAAAAATTTAATGTCAACCAATTAGCTTTTCAAGTGTATTATGAGGAAGAACATGCATCTAACAAGGAGAGTGCACTGCAAACTCCACAGGGAACCTTTAATGTTTTTACACAAAGAGAATAAAATGGAGAGTATAGTGTCAATAGTAGTGACAAATTCATGATACACAAATAAAAACAAGGTTTACTAATGTGTATAACGATTTGTGAATTTTTATATCTGCAAACAAATAAAATCAAACTTTAATGAATCTGTAAAACAATGCTTCCTGTGTATTATACATGTCTAAAAGAATTTGTGTAATAATGTTCACCAGATGCAGATGGAATATTTTTGGAGCCTTTTCCCAAATGGAAATTCCTAATGGATGCACTCAAAAGCTGGACAGGTCCCTATTTTTAGACATTTATACAGAAAGGAAGTATTTCAAAAGCAAATGTTATTAGATTAAAGAAATTTAATAGTGGTGTTTATTGAAGTTGTATCAACTTGTAAATTTGTTTTGCATTTATTAATCTTGGGTGGTTGACAGGAAGAAGCATTTAGAAAAAGCATAATTTATTCACAATTTGTCATACACGTTTGTATTATTAGACTATTTTCTCTTCGTAAATTAAGGGCTCTAAAAATGATGTGTGCAGTGTTAGTTTTACCTACAACACCAGTTCTCTTAGGATTTCTTGTACACATGCCAAAGAAACATTCGCTTTAAATAAAATGTGAGAAATCTACAACAACTTTCTTTGCAACAAATCAATGTGTTTTTATTCACAGAGCACAAATGAAGTTGATTACACTTAAAAAAAAAAAAAATCAAACTAAACTATTCCTGCTCTGCTTCTTTGTGTGTGTATGTACTACTGTGTCACGCTCGTGCTGATGAGTCTCAGATGTTGAAGCGCTCGTTCCTGGTCTGCCCTGTCTTCCTCTCTCTGAGGTACAGGTTGACATAGGAGGTTATAAGATCATCCATCTTGTAACCCTTTTAAAAGAAGACACAGAGGTAAAGAAATGGAATGAAAATAACAAACCTTTACCGACTTTTTAACACTTAAAGCTCATGTGTCTAATGACAGATCTTACCAGTGAAGTTTCACACAGAAATTTGCTTCCCTTGACTAAGTTGCCGACAGTCATGTGAAAGTAGGTGCTTCCACTGCACCAGTTAGCGATGCGGTTGAATGGATGATTTGCCAGCACATCCTTTATAAGAGAAAATAATTGTTAATGATAAAAAAAACAAAATAGAAGCAGGATTTTAAAGGTGATACTGTAAATGATGATTTTTGTTTTCTTCACCTTGGTTTTAGGGTGGATGATGGTGAGTCCTTGCTTGCTGATGGCTATTCGCACAATATCTGGGAAACTTTGTTCTGATGTTTGCTGAAAAGAAAGTTATAAAGGCAAATGAGAAAACTTTTCTTTACTGTAGTCATAACTATTTTCTTTCTGCAGACGTGCAGTTAGTGTACCATGGTGACAGAGGGTGTGAGGTACTGAGACACAGAGTGAGAGCATCAGATAAACAAGCCACCCGCCCACCCAACCAAATGGACTATAGATAGAAGATAAAGTAGCGTTTGTGCTGCATTCACTGCAGACCATACCTTCACTTCAAAGAACGCACAGCCGAATGTCGGCCAGCGACACACCACCTTCAGAAAGGCCACCTTAGTTTCTTCAACGGTCATACCAGCTTGTTTGTTATAAGAGGCAGAAATACTCTGAAAAAAAACATATATCACAGTATGATACAACAATCTTCTTTTGTAGAAGCATTTCAAAGCATTTTAATGAGGTTAATGATTTTCAAACACCCCCACGGCCCTCAGGCAACATTCTCAGAGAACTGAGATAGGGATCAACGGACTGGCATAATGGTGATATTGTTCATATGGGCAATTTAAAGGATAAGGCTGGTTCTACTCTATACTTTTCTTATTTTTAACAAAGCCTGTGAAAAGATAAAAAAAAAAAATAAATGGATCCATCTAACACATAACTGTGTCCAATGCTTGATATATCTTATTCCTCTGAGCCATAGAGCCCCACTGTTGTCCATCAAACACAGTCACTGTTGCACTGAGTGAAGTCTCTTTTTATTGAACAAAACTGTAGTTCATGTTGAATCAATCCCACATACACCATTCTGGTGCAGTAAATTCTTGCTATACAGTGCGCTAGCAATCCTCTAAAAATAGTCCCCAGCAAATGCACTATCTTCTATAGTTTGAGTAATGTTTACTAAAAACTACAAAGCCCAGCTGGTAGTCCGGTTGTATTGTTGGTTTTGGTCTTTCGTGAGATGTGTTGATAATAAGGAAAACAAAGTTAAGCCTCATACCTTCTTCCAGTCATTTTCAGACATGGCTTTCAGTTGGTCCGCGGGAACCAGCTCCTTCAGCATCTTGGGAATCATGACCAACTGACTCTTGTCATTGTTGACCTTTACCCTGAAGAGCAGACCTGCAATGTTGACCATTTCCTCTTTGGTGGAAACATGATAGCCTCTCAGGTACTTCGGTAGTTCCTGGAGGACAGAAAGATATTTTACAAAGTCTATTATTAGGCTTTCTGACCACATTGTTCATTAGGAGACAGCTTAATCTTCAACATTTTTTCTGGTCATAATTTAATTAGAATGAGTCTTGGAAGTAGTTTGTATTCTATCTCATCTATATGTCCAGTAGGATTATGTTAACAAAGATGTGGAAAGGTGTGGCTTTTATACCATGCCAAACAACTAATCAGCATGGAAAATGTGATGGTGGCCGAGTTGCATCATTCAAATGTACCTGAGGGAAATGAAAGATAAGATCAGCCTCTGTGTCTCTGCCAGGGACCACATTGAACCACAACTTCCTCATGAAGAACACAAGATAGGGCATGTTAACTGGGCCACCTGCAGCACACACACACACACACACACACACACACACACACACACACACACACACACACACACACACACACACACACAAGAGTAAATACAAAAACACATTAAAAGTTCGATTGCAGAGGCAGTCCAGTCAGATAATATTTTTTTGTTACCGTCTTTGATCCTCTTGGCTTTCTTGGACCAGTCGGTGATTTGTCTCAGACTGTCAAAGAAGTAGTCTGTGTCGTTCAAACTGAGAACCTGAAATAAACGCAGACTTTCTTTTACAACCAGTGGAGTGGAAGTTCATGAGAGGGTCAAATTCTAAGTCAAAATATAATGTTCAATAATGTTAATGTTGAGAACGATCAAATAAACCTTGTCATGTGTTTTGACAAAAATGCTGAAGCCGTCTGCTGAAGCCAGACTGAGCTTGTTGGTAATGTTCTGGATGAGATCCTTGATCCTGGTGCTCGTCGCGATCTCAAATACCTGAAGAGGGATGAGAGAGGAATCACTGGATCACTTGCATTACTGCAGGAATATTTTTTCTTTTTTTCTGAACCTTTAAAAATACAAGAGGTCAGTGTTCGTACCTCGTCTGTGTCGTTGGGGAAGTGGATTTTGTGGAAGATCTGGGTGCTGTTCTGTTGGATGGCTTCTACCTCAACCTGGTGTGGAGGGAGCTTCCTGGGCTCCATCCTACACAAAGACAGTGAAATCTTAGTCATGTTTTTTATTTATCTTTTTATTTTTTTAACAACATTTTCTTTATCATTTTGACACTAAGCCACAGATTCACTGGAGATAAAGAAAACAGCGCACACTCTATCACTACAAGTTTAAACCAGAAAGCTACACCATGTACCCATTGTGCTGATCAGAAATATGTCTCTTAAGGCCTGTTGGTACTGTGTTAATTATACTGAATGTACATGTATTTATAGAGGACGCCTTACAAATGTGAGTGTGGTCAAGTCACTGTGAAGGTGATGCAACACATTTTTTCAAAGAGTTCAGTGTAAGTATCTCTGCAA